AAAAGGACGGTATTTTATTGTTGCTTTTTCTCTAGTACATTCCTCTCTTTATATACATGTTAAGAAATCCCAAAAATTCCAAAAATCCCTAAAATCCCAAAAATCCCTCAAGCCCCAATTAAACCCTAATTGGGCGAGGATGACATATGTTGAATCTATCTAATTTTTCGGTCCCTCTTACAATATATTTAGAAGAAAAAGGTATCAAATTAAAAAAAATATACAAATAAATAAAATTTAAAAGCAGTATTAAAGACAAAAGTTAAAGCAAAAATATAAAAACATAAAAAATATAATAAGTATAAAAAAGTATATAAAAGCAAAACATATTTAACAATATAAAATTTTAAAGAATTATAAAAATTATAATAAAATTAGTAAAAAAAAAATGAATATGAGATAGTAGTATTAAATAAAAAATCAGAAAAAAAATTTGGTATATAATTAAATTTAATTTTATATATTTTATATATTTATAATAGATTTTAATAGATTTATCAAGTATTAATTATAATTTGTCAAATATTATTATATTATAAATATAATTTATTTTTAGAAAATACACAATTTGCAGAATACAATAATAAATTAAATTTTTATAAATCATAATTTTTAATTTTGTCAAAGTATATAATAACAAATAATTTTATAAAATTTTATAATTAAAAATGATTAATTAAATTGTTTAAATAAAAAATTATTAGATATCAATTTATTAAAATTTCTAAATATTGTAATTTTTATTGCCAAGTATTTTATTTATTTATTGTCAAATTTTGTAAATTTTTATTACCAAATGCAGATTTTTATTATCAAATTTTTTTTAAATGCAAATATTTTATTTGTAAATTTTTTTTTATTGCTGAATGTTTTTTTTATTACTGAATATTATATTTTTATTGCTGAATAATTATATTTTTATTGCCGAATTATTATATTTTTATTGCTAAATTGGTATATATTTTTTAAATATCAAGTGAAATAAAATTGAAACAAACAATAAAACTCTGGCATCTAATTTGAACTAGTGTAATGTTTATAGAAATATTATGTAATTTGTATTGAATTAAGAATTTAGACCTATTTAATTTAATAACTAAATACTATATAATATGTGATTCATTTTTTGTTTAGAATTTTAATAGAAGTTTATATACACCATATGAAACTTTACTAATACTAAATGTATCATAAATAACTTTGAATGATGTTTGTAATTTTGCCAGAGTTTGTAATGATTTGTGCCTTTCAGATATATTTATTAATATTCCTATACCATTGAAATGGAATGTTCTAAAGAGCATAAATGGATGACTTGATAGAATAAAATATAAGAATACTTGGTGCCCTTTTGTTCAGATCGGCATTCTTTTCATTTTGAAATTGCCAAAAAGATTTCTATGAATAGAGATGAATTATGCCTTTCTATCCAATATACGGCTACCAAAGAATTATCAGTGTGGAGACACAATATTGTACGTGGTAAAAATTGTACATAAATGTTTCTATAGAATTCCTTGTACTCTCGAAGATGCTATAAAAATCGCACATGATAAAAAGGGAGAATGTCTAGAAAATTTATTAACAACAAGTCAATATTATAATGTCGCTGTGCTGCGGGGGAATGAATGGAATTTTTGTCTCAATAGTATAAAAATAATAATACTTGGTGTTCGTACTGTGTAGGCCAAAGTGTTTACTCTTGAAAATACTAGAAAATTACACATAGTAGAAACAGGAGTGTCATTCTGAAAAATATATTAATAGCATGACAACTTTATTGTGACATTTTTTTAAAGGCATACAGTAAATGGAATGAAACATTTAATAATATTAAAAATGGTTTCTGGATGATATGCTCATGATATTGATCAAGCCGAGCAAACTGCATTTAGACGGAATATGTGAGTGTCTCTACCTCATATTTTAATAACTATTTCAAATCTATTATAAAAATTTTTTAAAGGACATGTAACACTTAATGCTATTAAACATCGAAATATTTGGTGTTCAATTTGACTAAATAAATATGAAAATTTATGTCGCAAATTGTGCCAAAATATCTTGGACCATCATCATCAAGATACGTGTTTCAATTTCTTAAAACATCAGAATATTCCACGGGCTCAGAACTTGATAGAACTTGATATACAGTATTTAATCCTGAACATGTTTTTGCAATTGAAGTACAAGAGTGCAACAAGAAAAATACATCGAATTCTTTTGGGTGGTGATCACATTAATTTATTAAACAGCAGAGGCGAGATCAACTCAAGAAATAATTGTGCGAAGGAAACTGGATGCTTTAAGGTATGCTTGATATTATGAAGATCCATATATAGTTATTCCAGAGCATCGAGAATTGGGCCTTATTAAGTAAATCCAAAACTTTAAATGCTGGTGCGGATTGGATTTCTTCAATAATGTCTTCCTCCAAAATAACTTAACACTTTCGTGGGACCATTTTTCCAAATCACTTCGTTAACCGTCGAGTACGATTCCTTCAGTCGCTAAGTCTTATGTTGAGGAACTTGAGACCTTACACAAACTCTTCACCTTCCTCGAAGAGTCTACATCGTCCTACCTGAACAAATTTACGAAATACATTGTAAAACAGCTTCCGGTATTAGATTTATTGTTGTTTGTTATGCATTGCTCAATCAAGTTTTTTCAACATCTTTTCGTTATTTGTCGGCGAACATAATTGTGATTGGCCTTATTGATCTTATATCAGTGGACCTTCTACATGCTTGGTACCGAAACGGACGTAATGAACGTCTTCTCAACGAAACAGTGGAAAGGGACGCTCGACCTGAAACGGGAATTTCAAGTGATAAGTTTGTACCTCGACCTGAAATTTTAGAATGCCTTAAAAGAATTTTTCAACTCTATAGAAGTCAATCGTCTTATTACATGGTTTTGGTGAACATAGAACTGGGAAAACTACGCTGACAAAGATTGCATCAAATGAAGTTGGACGTGGAGTTATATACGTTAATGTTCCAGAAAACCTTGATTTCACATTCGAGGAACAGATCTCTTTTACAGGACAACTTGCACAAAAAAATCTTAGGTACAATTAAAGGTAAGATTTGCGTTGCTGATACAGTATATTGAAAACTTGAATTTTTTGATCCAGGCTCGCTTTTTTATTGTTGTCGTCACCAGCGAGTCTGTTGCTAACTTTGGTTCACTCTTCGCGTGACGATAATCCGAACGCTTGGATTTCGGCACCAAAATAAAGGTAAGGCTTTAACTCTGAGGCGGTTACGATTTGTCCGACTTTCATGTACTTGCTAATCTCTTCTTGACCGTCTTTCCCTAGGCACGTCTCAAGATTACAAGTGTCTCTCTCTTTACGGTGCAAAAGGTAACGTTGTATCTCTCCCTTAAAGTTGTTTGCTTTACTGTAGTGGCGTACTCTCATTTATAATGCAAGGAGTGTAAATGTGATTGTGCAAAGTTGTAGCATTTATTTGATAATGAAAGAGATAGTTAAAGAGCGTTCCAAAAATCTAAACTCTAAACGTGTTTTTATGACTATGACTAAAAACTGACTATCCTACAAACTATAGAAAACTACCCTATTTATATGCCTTATTGACGCGTCCACCCAGTTACATGCTATGACCAATTATTACATCATTCTGCTATCATTGTTACTCATGTTACGCGACGCGCTTCAATGTCACGTTCCCATCTCTATTGTTCCCACAACATTATAGATGAATTAAAGGATCCCAAGTAGGTAAGAGCCATGAGTGCCTTTAGACGTGCTTCTGCCGTATACAAAAAGAAATATGGAAAACCACCGGTTATTATTTATGACAACATCAGTCAAATAGTTAACGAGAATCACAAGAATTTTGATATTCTTCAAGATGACGCTAAAAAGAATGCAGATGACAGAAAGTACATCGCAGTGTTTGTCAATAACAAAAGAAGTATTCTTCGAAGAATACAGTGTAAGCTCTAACAAGGTTTTTTTGACTCTCTTACAGTCATATTTATGAATCAATATTCTTATCTCTAGCACTAAGTGATTGGTCACGTGCAAACAAGTGGTTGAAATCGGCAGTCTTAATAGGAGGAATCAATGGATTATCTAGTCAATAAGCGTGGGATTAAGATCGTAAAAGGAGACAGGATCGATGCCGCAGAAGCGGAGAAATTATACTAAACAGTCCTTTGAAGGTATAATTGATTTCGATATTTTGCATCAAATAATTTTATATCTACGAGATCAAGCAACAAAAATTAAATGAAATTAGAAAGAAGTTTGATTCTGCAAAACTCCATCAAGATCAATCATATTGTAAAGCAAGAAAGAGTGCTATCAAGGGCTTCGTTTGATTCCAATTAAGAAATCGACTATACGTTATTTCGGAAATTTTTTAATAATCCTGAGGAAGCTAATGAAGTCTTAGATACCAATCTACAGTATTTGCATATCACCCAGAAAAAGATACTGTAACCTTTCATTCTCATACAGCAGAATACTGTATTCGGATAAAGTCTTTATTCGTTGATTGATAAATAAAAAATGAATAATAAAGTAGTGAGTTTAAAGGGATGAAACATCACGAACCCTAACCCATAAAATGAGAGTTCACTCTCATTATTAACTGTTTTTGCTATCCTTATTTCGGGAGAAATGACACTTTGTACCTGGATAATGGTATGGCATCGATCGATTTTGTTTGGAGCATTGAGATGGCTCCATCAATTGATTTGAATTCGATTGCGATCCCATCAAAATTGTTAAAGTAATTTTGAAGAATTTTTTTGATTCCATCAAGTCTCGCAGTAGAAGTATTAAGCATTGTCAAGATTCTTTGAACCTTCGTTGTAATGTTTTCTGAAGTGTTGAAAGAAATGATTACTAATGTTAGTACTACATTAAAAATAGAAAAAATACTTTGTAAACTTTTATTTAAAATAGAAGAGGCAAAAAAAAAAAAAAAAAAAACAGATTAATAAAATACATTATTCTTGAAAATTTGTTAGAAAAAAAAAATTAGTTTAATGCATGTAAATTAGTCAATAATACTGTATATATTGTAAATACTGATATATAAGGATGTAAACATAATAAAAAATGTAATTTTTTTTTTTACCTCAAATAATAAAGGATAATTTATTATATAACACTCTTTTAAATAACATCAATTATCATAATAAATTATTATCATTATTTTTAATCTATATGTATATTGCATGATATATACAGTATATAGTATCTTGAAGGAAACAAATTCTCTCACTGTATAAGTTTGATTAGTATAGAATCAATTATTATTTTAAAAAAAAACCGTTACAGTATTGATATCAATGTATGATGTATGCCGTACATCGAAATACGGTGTGGTTTTGAGTTTTCTGCATATTTTTTTACGGTTTCTTTATTCTGGTTAGCTCGGAAAAAAATTTTTTAATTTTCCATATTGTTTTAATCTAAACAATTAATTACTTGTTGGATTTGAAAATCGTTAATTTTAACTTTTTTGGATCGGTGCCCCACTTATTTTTGTGGCGCAATCGAAGAATTTTTGTTTGTTTCCATTTTCGGATGGTCCTTACTCTGAGCACACAATAATACTGATTTTGGGGGAAACCTAATTGTAGCCAACAAAAGTTTATAATTGGCTAATTGAATTACTTTGAATGGGTTTCGCGATCGCCTCGTGTCAAACAATTTTTGGGGTTTTGCCACGGTATCGACGCATGTACATATTATTACATGAAGCATTAGATAATCTTCATTTTATTATGGGGCCACCAATCATTGATCTACGATAGAAAAATAACATGTTTACACCCCAACAAATTTTCACATATGAAACTCATATGATTTAGGGTTATGGGGCGAGAAGTAACATATTGAACTTTTGTTTCCATAAAATGCACCATCCCGGTAACATACTTGTGTCTTTCTTGTAAATATATTCTTTCTAACTTGTCAAGGAAAAAAAAAAAAACCTATATTCGGAATTTCCCTTATTATTTTTTCTTCCATATATTGAATACAATCAACTCTTATAAACTACGTTAATTCTGTTTCTAAGCCATCGTATCGATCCATCTTTTTATTACATTAAAAGACCGAGAGACTTTTCGACCTTCAATTACACTTTACCAAGAGAATATGTCCTCATACGGGAGATCCACCTCAGCTGTCATGCCTTCTATTTCGAGTTTTAAGAGAAGCGAACTTTCAGAAGAGTCGAAAAAATCAATCCAGCGGATAGTACCAAACGAATTCGAGCTTGAATATGTTAACGAAGAACATATCGCTGAATTCGCAAAAGCTCTTTTCGAGGACCCCAACAATGATCCGACTGAACACATTGCCGCTGTGACGGATTTTATGCCAATAAGGCAAACGATAAAAGAGAAAAAACCCCTAGGAGAATTCGAAGGCTATTCATACCACATTGCTAGATTTCCGATGATGGTAAGCAAAAAATTGACATCTTTTAAAGTTATATTGATCCGAATTTTATCTTAAGAAATTATTATATTTTTTCTCTTTCTATAGCTAATAATATTTCTTATAATTGGTTGCGAATTACTCCTTTACGTTTTAGTACGACAAATAGTAAACATCTGGGAATATTTTGTACAATGGTAAGATAACGTGTACAAACTAATTTTTCGTAAACCGTTCTACTTCTCGATGGTGATTGTTGAGAAATGGTTGGCCTTATCGACATATAAATTAATTTATGTAGGAGAGGCGTGAAAAGACTGTTGCGTGAAAAACTTCGTCAAGCCAATTCATACAGTCAATGGGTCTCGGCTGCTAATAGGCTAGATTCTTATTTCGGATATAATGAATGGAAAGATCAAATGCAATTTGGTTTTTATGATTACAACTTGATAAAGAAGGTTAAACATGACCTAAAAAGTTTACGAAGTGGGTCGAGTGCAAATGCACAAAAGCTAAAAAATGCCTTACACCATTGTGTAAAAAGTAATTTTGCCGGCTTCGAAAATACTAGGTTATATTCTCAGACATATTACGGGACAAAGAAAATTGTCGAACAATATATTGATGAAGGTGGGTGTTATTGGTTAATTCGTTTTATAATCAGATTATGTGAAGTTATTAATAAAACCTTTAATTAGTAACCAAATCACTCGAATTCTCACGTACAACTGAATCATTGTCTGTCAAGGAAAAGCGGAAACTTTTTAAAAACGCGGATGAGAACTTTGGAAGGACGGCATTGTGTCTTAGTGGTGGTGCCAGTTTTGGTTATTTTCATTTGGGAGTCGTCAAAGCTCTTTTTGAAGCGGATCTTCTTCCAACAGTTTTTACGGGGACCAGTGCCGGCGGCTTGATCGCTGCACTGGTATGCGTGCGAACCGACGAAGAATTAAAACAAGTTTTGACGCCGGAACTGCACACGCGACTGAAAGCATGCTCGGACCCGTTTAATGTTTGGTTTCCAAGATGGTGGAATACTGGTGCACGATTTGATTCGTGTGACTGGGCTAGGAAAACACAGTGGATAACAAAAGGGAGTCTGACATTTAAAGAAGCGTATGAGAGAACTGGGAGAATTTTGAACATCTCGGTGATACCATACGATCCTCATTCACCACCAAAAGTTTTAAATTACATTACAGCACCTGACTGCGTCATTTGGTCCGCAGGTATGTCTTTTTAATCAGATAATAAGTATGGATATATTACTCCAAATTAACATTCTTTATACGTGAATTTCTTAGTAATTGCAAGTGCAGCTGTGCCCGGATTTTTAAATCCTGTTGTGTTGATGCAGAAGTTGAAAGATGGCTCCATAATACCTTACAATTATGGACACAGATGGAAAGATGGATCTCTTCGAACAGACATTCCCATTCAACAACTCAATATGCACTTTAATGTTAAAAACACCATTGTCTCTCAAGTCAACCCGCATGTGCATTTGTTCTTTTACGCACCACGTGGCTCAATCGGTCGCCCGGTGACACACCGACAAGGTATGGGTTGGCGGGGTGGATTCCTATTCGCCAGCACTGAACAATATTTGAAGCTGGATCTCAGCAAATGGTTAAAATGGATACGTGATCTCGAACTCTTACCAAGAATTGCGGACCAAGACTGGAGTTCAATTTGGTTACAAAAATTCGAAGGAAACATTACTATTTGGCCAAAGACCAACATCCTAGATTTTTTCTATATCGTAGCGGATCCCGATGGCGAGAAACTTGACAGGAAGATCAGGATTGGTCAGCGCGTTACTTGGCCAAAACTTCATATGATCGAAAACCGCCTTAAAATAGAACGTGCAATTCAGAAGGGAAGAGAATCCATAAGAAAAGAACTTCGCCAGCAACGAAAGAACCACGCTGGTGTTAATGACATTGATGATAAAATAAGTAACAAACACGACGATTATTATAGTTCAATTATGGATGACACGAGAATTTACAATAAGCATAGCGAATCAGAAGAATCCATCAGTAGCGGAAGTGGATCAGACATGGGGATTGATAGTGATGGTGGAAATGGAAACGGTGTTATAAAAGAGGAAAATAAATTATCATTTTCTGATCGTACGTACACCGGCTCTTCCTCCGAGGAAGATGATCTAAATATTTAACAAACCGATAAATAAATAAATGTATATGTAATTTAAAATTAGTATCTAACACGAGGACTCATTATTTATATTTAGTTGATTATTTAAAGAATAGATTTTTAGAATGATTTATGCCTTGATTGATAACACAACAATTTTTATTAGTCTTAATTGTAGATTATAATTTCAATTGTATTACAAGCAAATCACAATTACCATTACAGTTCGTTCTCCAAGTAATCAGATGTAATATGAAGTATAACCGACAAGTACAACTAATATTGCTATCTTTAACATCAAGTTAAATTAGCCTCTTGATAAAGTGACTATCCATTTATTTACTGAACCTTAATATGGGATGTGATGTGGAAAGATCCTCATGACAGTGAACTCAATATTTCTGAAAATTGATAAATGAAAATCACTTTGATTGTAGGATTTGAGTTCCAGAGTCATGACCAGTGAATTTTATTTACTTGGATATCAATGCACACCTTTTTTATGATTGATCAAAAATTGAAAAGCTTTATTTTAAATATTCTGTCACCAAAAAGGCATATCTAATCTATTGTTTTTTTTTTCATTATAGTTCTTTGTCAGCAAAAATTATTTTAAGATAACTATCAAGAAACCTTTGATAACAAAAAACAATTAATATTTTTCTGCCATAATTAGCACCACCAAGGAAGTCCATCCTGTGAATGGATGGCTATAAACGTAGAATGAATAAATATATTTAGCAATTGGTGCATGTAAATTAGGGAATTGATTTTTTTTTTAAAAAAAAAAAGATTATTTAACGCACCTTCTTTTTCCTTCTCCGTTTATAGAGGAATATTGCTCCCACACATATCCAGTTTTTTCGAATTCCTTGTAAAATAAAAGAAAAAAAGAAAGTTAAATACATGAAAAATTGGTTTTCTCCCAGTAAAAAAAAACCAAAACGATCATGACTTACATTATAAGCATTATTTATTATATTATTTCTCAACTCTTTGTATATGGTCTTTGCTTTTGATTGATATGGACCAGGTTTTGATGCGTAATTCTGTTGAATAAGAAAAATCAATGATTAAAAGTATACATTGAATCACCCAGCCAACACCAATCCAAGTGAAACAATACCGTATACAAAGAGGACAACGCGAGATAATTGATGTTGATCCAAACTGGTCCCACCCAATAGTTTTCTCCTGTGTTGTAATATTCATCTAACTTTGATAATGATCTTAGTCCATATCTAGAATAGAAGATAGAAGGCGTATGCCAATAATTGCAAGTTTAGAGTCACAGATTAATTATACATATCCAATATTTATACTAGATATAAGGAAAAAAAAAAAATCCTTTTTAAGGATACGGTGACCATAACTCTTCAGGATTGTGCATCATATCCAATATTGCTCCAAGCTTTGTTGAATCATTTGGTAAAAAACCAAGCAGCATCGGAAACAGGGAGAGGTATCCTTTGTGACACACATGAACAGATTCCTCGTTTTCATCAACAGAAACATCACAGTATGACTTATGATTCTCACTCCAATGTAGATCTGTAAATAAAGTTATTTAATCTCTAGTAAAATCAAAAGGTTTTCCATTAGACAGTAAGCCTACCATCTAGATTAGCCAATATGTTTTTATACTGTTTGGTAAAATCTTCAACGTCATCGTCTTTACCCAATTTTTCGGCAACTTTCGCAAGAGATCTTGCCATGAATCCCACCCAGCACATCAGATCCACGTGCAACTCGGCAGGATGTGGATTGGGTCTAGGATAATCATCAAGTCCTTGTCACATATTTGTAAATTTTCGGGAATAAGTCATTGACAAAGTCAAATCAGTCTTAGTTCGAATCTAATCTCAGCAAAAGGTGCTTACCGGAAGTTAATGTATGTCCGGGCGTTCTACCGCGCCACCTGTAAGCCTCCTTGCTGGTTGCCTTTCGCCCCCACTCTTTAATCTCACCCCACTGGGTTCTCCTAAACCATTTATAATTAGCGCGCAATTTAGGGTAAATCTCTGCAAGATATCCTTTTGCAAGTTCGGGATCATGCAAATGACGATTTGGTAGAATTTCGGGATCAGTAGTGGAGGATAGTTGACCGAGGGTTGTCTGATCTTGATTGACTATATAACATTATAAAGATGATAAAGATGATTTAGTACGAGAGAAAACATATTCGCTTTATATATCAAAAAATATCAAAAATAAACTTTCATGCAACAACCTTCAATATTAAATTGGGTAAAACTGGTGACATTATTCAACCGCTCAATATATGAGCAAATGGCCATTAATATCATAGGGGGATTCGCATAATGAGGATATTGTGTCTGAAATTCTTGCGGAACCTGTAAATATAAGTAAAAGGCCGAGTTTAAAAGACCGGTCAATTTATGAGGATATCACATATAGCAATTGTTACACGCACTTTGCTCCTAGCCTCTTCACCCAAGATTTGCTCGCGAGCCACCCAGCCATTGTCGTCTATGAGCGATACCCAATTCTTGATAATTTCCAAGCTATAATATTATATTAAGACAATCAATTATTGAATTAAGAATGAAGAACTCAAATATTAAAAGTTTTCAATTAAGTAATACCTTAGATCGTTATCCCATGATCCAATTAATAGTTGATGAAATCCTTCGTCCCTACATCGCTAATTATTATTATCACACTAATAGGAAGATAAAAAAAACAATACATGATTCGTATAACTTGTGGAATAAAATTCACCAGTAAAATCCTCTCGGAAAAAATGGTCGTGACGGTGTTGCTGTAAATAACGACGCCGGAGGAGTTAGTTGTGGATCAGCTTCTCTCTTGTCCTCAAGATTTTGTTCGTCTTTGTCAACATCATCCACATAAGATTTGTCTACAATACTTGATCCATAAAAATATCTAAAAAAAAAAAAAGAGAGAGAGGTTGATTAGGTGAAGAGATGAATTAGCAAATAAGATAAATGAAAAGTTCATCTTACCCAACACCACCGATCAAATTGCTCATCATGGCTTGAGCAAAATATATATGTTTTTTTTCGAATCCCTTTTCCGATAGTCCAAATATTTTTTCGAATCTTTCATCAAAATCCCGCGAACTTATTTTTAAAAGGTTGGATAAATCTGAAAACCCAGGAGAATTCAGGGAATTGTCATTAAATCGCAAAGAAACCAACATTGTTTAATGGTTTTATGCATACCGTCAATGTGTGCTGGCGATGAATCGGATTCAAAAAATATATCAAACTAAGAAAGAAAACAAAGTAGATAAATAGAAAACCCAAAAGAAAGAAAATCATAAAGGAAAGTATCCAACATTTTTCAATCCGAGAGACGAGCTGAATGTATGAAGGTGAAAAGAAAATGACCTGAAAAGGAGTGTCGACCATCTTCTGAATGACAAAGAAATTTGAATTCTCGTCCACTTCGTTATTCAACGCGAACAAGAACGGTGGCGGTGGATAAACATCGTTTTGTGGCTGATAATTTCTTAGTTTCGTTGTGAACATGCCATTTAAATAATCTTGTGATTTAATGTCGCATTACAGGAAAATAAGATCAAAAAACGGATTGGTGAAACCACTTATAAACAGACATTAATGTTGGTTTTGAGTTGTAATAAAAAAGGCTACCTTTGGCTCGCCAGACTTCACCGTCGGGTACCAAGTGTCCCCAGTACTGAAATTTTTTTAAATCATTTGGATATTTGTTTAAATCAGTGGGTGTTATAATCCTTGGCATCCTATTAAGTGAATCTAAATTAATAATAACAAAACCATAGCAATAGTGACAATATCGTTATTAATATTACTAACAAATGATCATTAATATTCACATCAAAAAATTAATTTTCAAAAACAAACCTTCTACTACTCGAATGCGAAATTTTCCGAGTTCGGGAGATTCTCCACTCAGTTCAACAGGACCCTTTAATCCCTATTAAACGCAATTATCGCGTTTTATTTCGGCAGTTGATATCACAAACTCCACACTTAAACATCTAGGATGAAGTTACCGATTTATCCGGATCATTCAACAAATCCAAAGATCCTTCTCCTTCTAACCCAAAATAATATAAAAATGATATTGCTGAAGAAGCCTCTGTTGAAATATGTAGGTCATAGTAAGCATTGATTATCTGTTGGCGTCATCTCTCCGACAAAAAAAAAAATCACCTTCTACAATTGGTTCTCCAGTGATACGAACAGCCCAATCGCCGCCTATTGTAAATGAAATGTAACTGTTAAAGACACCCTAGAGATTCTCGGTCTGGTTAGGACGCGATCATGTAATCAATAATACTATACGTTATTCTAAATTAACATATATTATTTCTACGGTGTAATTAAATCCTTGTTGATGTAAACGCATTCGGTAAACCCTTTCTATTCTACAACTAACAGATCGTAAATAGCATTACCATTTTCACCACCAGGAGCTTTCAAGAATTCAGTCTTTAACATAAGATTATTTTTTATGTCGGTGATCGTCTGCATGGCAAAAGAACGACCATCATGCTTTTTGTAACTATATTCGTCCAGCTCATCCGATTGATCACATGCGTGCCTCATTTCTGTGAAAATGAAAAAATCAATGTAACGAATACGAATCATGGAATTCTAGGCCGTGGATTTGTTTTTCTTTTAAAAAATTAGAGCACTTACGCCAGAAACCTTTATAATCATCCACTCCAAACCATATTAAACCTGTCATCAAACTCTCAGGCAACCTTGGTCTAATACCGAAATATAAGTTGGGTCGGTAAGTTCCCCAAAGCAAGGAATTATTCGAGGCCTTGATGGCCATTAGTTTATTGTTCGATGGTTTTAACATGCTTCCATCGGAAAACTCTAAATCTAGATCATCGAAATCCAATTCGAAGGTGAAGACGAGAGTGGAAAATACTAATAAGACGAGGAGGTAAACCAAATTTCGAGCTTTGGTCGACATTTTTATTTTATGTTCTAAAACTTAAGATCATTGACATCAAATGTACTAGTAAATTTTCTTTTTCTTTAATAATATATTACTATAAATGGGCTCTATCGAAAAGTCTTTGGAAGTTCGATGTTCGAATTTTTATCTCTCTTATATATTTTTTTCTAGGGTTACACGAATCGCCGGGGAACGTGTAAAAATAATACTGGTCGATCGCGTGAAATAAACTATCCAGGCCTGCAATTAATCAAACCTCATTCCTAAGTGAATTGGAGCCATCGGAGACCTAAGGATAAGCGAACGTCAGATCTCACAATGATTTTGTATAATCGAAGCACGCATGTTACCAATAAAATTCTAGCAGCAAAACACTGCGAACCTTGTTGTCGGAAATAAATTAAAATAGTCTTACGACGAGTCATTCGTTTTTATGCTTTGATGACATTTCTTTCTATGGTGTTTATAACATACTGTATTTAAAACTCATTCTACACCTCGGATTTGAACGTTTGTGTCATGTACACTAATTTTTTAAAAGAGAAAAAGTGCAGTCTTTTTTTTTTAGATCAGATCGGAACGAGTTCTAATCCAGTTCAATTTGAATAACTATATTTAGTCATCAATAAATTTTCGAATTTACGTTTTCAAGCCATGACAAATCTCCGAAATAACCTTAAACTAAAATTAGTAGTACACAACTATTATTTTCTTCAGGCACGACTTTTCGCATTAGTTTTAAGTTACAGTATAATAAAAAAATTTTTTTACTTAATAATTTAATATAAATTTTGAATTCTTTATTTACTTACAAATTTTAAATATTTTTTTCGATTTGATAGAAAATATGTTAGAGAATAATTTTATTTATACTTCTAACCAATATTTATAAAAAATTTATTATAAAAATTTTACTTGCTTTTAGGTAAACTTTATGAATTTAAAAGATATGAAGTTAGAGATATGAGTAAAATTGTTTTTTATGTTTTTTATCAATTTCAAAAAATATACATATAAAGTTTATACGTAAATCAAAAATAATTTTTTTTTATGACTGTATAACAAAAATTTATACATAAAATTTGTGTGAAAAATCATATGACTAATAATAAATCTTTAATATGTGATCATTATAGATAAAAAAAACTTAAATTTATTATAATAATAAAAATAACAATTTTGATTCTTTAAAAAATTTTAATTTAGTAAAAAATCAATGTTTCATTTGATCAAAAATACTGGAAATTAATAAATCAAGATTGATTTTTAAATAAGTGATTGTTCAAAAAATTTTAAAACCAAGATTATTATTAGTGTCGTTATTTAAATATTACAAATTAATGTTTTATGCCTAAATACACAAACTCGTATGCATATGTAAGAACATTTTTTTATATATAAACATTTTTTTTTTTTAATATTAATTGATTTAATATTTTTTAAAAAAATTTTTATTATAATAAAAAAATATATATTTTCAATCAAAATTATGATAAACCATGAAATTTTTCGTATTATATTAACTGTTGCTCACTGACCTAACGTCCTAGTTATCCTTTTACATGTGCATAATGTTTGTTCAAAGATAAAATGTTCCGGAACATGATCGGAACTTTGACAATCAAAAGTCATATACAAGAACTACGAAAAACCACAGCTGCCACATAAAAAATTATGTATTAACATAATTTCTCTTAGCCAAAGTTTCAAGCTTTACATTTCTATGACTGTGTAAAAGTAAAATCATTATTATATATCAAATATTAAATAAAAAAACCTATTTATGTACCAGAAGTTATGAGATTAACTATATCAAGAAATTTCAATATTCTAAGTCAAATATCGAGTTACGAGGTTCGCTCTCAACGTTGAGTGAACCACAAGCGGCTGACCTCAAAATTTCGATTGCATAATCTGCATTTATAGATCTTTGTATTTCTAGTTTCACTAGTTTTGGAAAATTATTCTCGAAATGATATGGATTTGAAGCATCTTTTGGTTTAAATGTACAACAATTAAATTGAATCTGCTCTAAATTTCTCAAAGGAGCCATGTGTTTAAACACGTCTATGCCACAAAAACGAACTTTTACAAATGATAAATACTTTAAAGTGTCAGCTTGACTCTCAATTGACGTCAACAAATAATCTAACCCTTCGGCACAACTATGCAACCCAAGATGCTCCAAACTTTTTTGTGCCGTGATCAAATCAGCCAGAGCCTTTGCTTCTTGTTCAGCCATAGATTTTTCATTCTCTCTGTTCGGATAACGCCTAATTCTATAACCCGCTCTTACTACTATTTTCTTCAGGTTCCTCGAAACTGGAATTAATGCCAATAATATTTCCGTTTTATTGAAGATTCTTGTTGGCATAATGAGTTCGGTAAGCTGAGACAAATGACCTTTTGAGTTAATAATTTTCATAATGCACTGATGATATTTTAGTAAAATAAACATTATTCCTTTAAAAAATGCCCTTTCTTCACTACCCTCAGCGTCTAGCAATAATCTATAAAGTCCTGCTGAGTGGTCCGTGATTAATTTGCTCATAATATCCAATAGGTCTTTATGAATACTATGAATACTCCCATTTACTAAAGTTCCGAGGGGTTTAGATAATGGATTATCTAGTAGAATATAAGATATAGCAAGCCTATAATTCTTGATGGTAGTAATATTCTTAGAATTAATGCAGTCTTTAATGACAGCAGAGAATTCGATTAAATCCAAGTTCTTCAAGAATTGAATATAGTTAAATAGAGGTTTTTTCACAGGTTTTGGAATGATGAAGTTTTTCACCAATTCCTCATTATATTGGTAAAGTATACATGATAAATATGTAAGGATTAAATTTCCGGCCCGCAACTTTCTTTTCTCCATCTGATACTGATAATTAACAGTATATAGATGTCTGAATGGTTGATGCCATAGGATTCTCACGGTTTCACTACACCAAAGACGATCAACGAGAAGACAAGAATGTAAAGTGTTTATATCGGCTTTCAGGTGGATTAGAATTAAATGAATGCATTCTGGCGGTAAATCCATGTTGAAAAAATAAATAAATAAATAACCAATTGATTATTGTTGGTATTGACAGAATGCAATATGCGACAGGAGCTGTCATATATATTCGTACTAAGCTGTAATACACGTGTAACCTACTACGACTTATCTTATACTGTACTAGTCAATAGTATAATATATCAATAAGTATTATAACAGTAATAAATAATAATAAATTCAATAAAATATTTAATGTAAAAATTTTTTTCTCTAAATGCACTCTTATGGTTAGTTTCAAGATAAATATTTTTTATGATTAAACAAAAATTATATAATAATGGTTACAATATTACTGATATTACTTATACTGTAATTATTAATTTAATTAATTGTATCAAAATCAGATTTTATACTATTCAATATAAATTGATTGTATGGCTAATAATCAAATCATTATTTGTCTTATAGCATATAAGATTTTTTTATTAATAAAAGTTAACAAGTAAACAAATAATTATAAAAACAAAATCAATATTTCCATTTAATAAAACTATTTGTTTTTCTTATATAAGAAATTGATTATTATATTTTGATTTTTAGAAATATGTATATTGATGATTTCAATATAAAATATATTTATCTTAAAGCTTAATATTCAAATAATCTATATAATGTAAAAAATAATTTATAAATAAACTAATTAATAATAAATATATTATAACTATAAAACTATTTAAAAAAAATATCAATACATATTTCTTATTAAATAAATAGATTTGCTTTTTGGATAACTTTTTATTTTATTTAAAAATTTAAACTTTATATTAAAATTATCTATATTCTTGGTTTGAAATATTAGCAGTATATACAATACTTATTTATTAATATTGTTTAACACGTATTGTTATATTACAAAAATTAAAAAATTTTTATTTAAAAAATTTCTTACCAAAAAACTATAATTAATTTATTTTTGTCAATTGATTATAATTTCAAATTTAACCAATTAAATATTATCAAACATCAATACAAATCCATATTATCAGTATACTATACAATAATTAATATAAATAAAATCACTTTTGATAAAAACAATTAAAATAAAATTATATCAATAACTATTACTATTACAATTAACAATTCAAATAATCAGAATTTTAACAATAAATAATATTAACTATACTCTATTATCTGTATTAGTAAAGGACATATTTATATAAAAAAAAATCTAAGATATTTTATTTATTAATTATTTTTCTATAGAAAAGTCTGGAAATACTTTATATGTCTTTACACTATATGAAGTTAGTGAAACTTTATATGTTAATATCTTCTGGGGAAAAAAATATAAAGATACTTTATTTATTAATTATTTTTTCAAGAAATATAATTTTATTTTTACAAATTTTATAATTTATTTAATTTTGTTTTAGTTTTAACTTCAATTATTTCAATTGTTTTAATATAATTTTATTATTATTTATTTAAATATTATAGAAATTGTAATAATAAAAAAAACCTTTTTCTATATATACTTTTTTAAAAAAAAATTTTTATAGTAATTTTTTTTATAATTAAAAAAATAGATATTTTTTCTTTATTTTTTAATTTTTAAAGTTTTTTGTACTTTTTTTATTTTTATTATTAAAGTCTTAAAAATTTTTTAAAAAATATATAATATATTAAAATAAAATTTTTAATCAAAAAATTGTATAAATAAAAACCTACAGTAATTACTTTTTTATAAATTTTTCTTGATATTTCTTTTATTTTCTTTTTTTATTAATACCTATTCTTATTAAAATAAATATATTTATTTTTTAAAAAACTGTTTTTTAATTTAAAAAATTAAACTTTATATCAAAATTAATAATATATTTTTTTTTATTGCGAATGGGCATTAAATGCAAGACTTTATTTAAATATAAATTTACTGTTATTACATTAATAATCTTTACAGAGTAAATTAATTGTAGCCTATCACAACTAAACTATTAATACCAGATACCATTATGAAGATAGGCTCACACCAATAGTGCTGAATAGCTAATGCTCTTTCAGAATGATAAAATTACTATAGAAGTAAAAATTGATTTGTCAGTATAGTTAAATGTGACATTTAACAAATTTAAGATTTTGTTGAATGTGAAATTTTCATTAATAGCAGTGTTTGCTGTGCTAATACTAGTTGTTTTTTTTTATTTAATTCTAGAAACTGGTAAAGTTATTGCTGTGGTGGATCTTAACTTTCATGCTTTGTGCAGGATTTTTAACATGTAGTTGAAAATATGTTCTTTTTTATAAAGAAGATTGAATAGATTATTGAATTTGCTAGTAGCCAAGTCCAATAAAGTGCTATCTGTTAACTTGAATGTTGTGGTAAAATCAATTTCTTTAATAATTTTGGAATTGAGGTCAAGGATGAGATTTTCAAGTTTAAGCTTCTTTTTATTTAATAGGGGTTTAATATATGTGCAAAAGAAGATGTGTGGAAGATCTTCTGGGTGTACATCACATCTTGGACATAAGTTATCTGGATAGAGACTGAGGTAACATTTGTAAAGTTTTATTTTGATTGGAAGTTGGTTTGCAAGAAGTTTGGTTCTGAATATAAATAGTGTCTTGTATTTTGTTTAAGGATCCTAACGATTCTTTTCGATTCTGTATTCGATTCTCAAGTTTATATTAAATTTAATAGATGGGATATACCCCACCATTATTTTTAATAGTGTTTCGAATCTTATGCGATTCTGTTCGATTTTATTAGATTCCAATTTTCAGAACTATAATTTTGTTTGATCAGGTTTTTTAAGTTTGTTGTTTGCTTTGATGATGGTTTCTAATTCCTCAAAGAAGGAGAGTTTATATATAGCTGAATGGCTCAAAAAGATATCAAAAAGGTTGGTATAGTGGTTTATGAATTTAATCCAGTGAGTAATATTTGTTGTGTATGTATTGTTGATTAGTGATAATAATATAAATATTAGGGGAAAGCACTGAAGAACTGGTATATTAGTTTTCATGTTTGTGTGAGGTGGTGGTTAATGATTCTTCAGTTTGTACTATAAGATAGTAAAGTTTTTTTCAATTATCAGAATGTTGCATTTGTTGATGAGTCTGCTGAAGGGGGTTTGGATTGATCTGTTAATATAGTTCAGGATCTTTAAATCAGGAATTTTGTTAAGAAAAATGTTGATAATTGATATCTTTGGAGTATCGACCAAGGTTTAATAAAGTACTGGTCAAAAAATGCTCCAGAAGTTAAGATAAAGTGTATATATAAGTGTGTTCGATAGTTTAGATACTGTCAAATTGTTATTATTTTTGTCATGGTGAAAGTATATAGTTGTTGGTCTGATGAGTGGACGTGGTGAGGAAATTAATATTTGTGGAATTGTTTGTGGTCTAGGAGAGAAGGATTCAATAAGCTCTTGGGTATTGTTAAGTAAATATGTGGAGTTAAGATGCAAGATATGCCAAATAGACTTGAGGTTGTTTATGTTTTTTTCCATGATATAGGGTTGTGCTAGGCATAAACAAGAAATTATATCCTTGTTGTTAAGTAGGTAGTGCTTGCCTCTAATGATTGTAAATCTGATAGTATTACTGCATACTTTAATGAAATTGATAGTGTTATTATTCAAAAAGATCCAAAATTTGATTTTAGACATGTTGAAAAAAAATATTGAGTTGCTATGTATGTTTGAAGATATATTGGAGATGAGTGAAAACCATACTGGAGCTGGGCCAGAAGCGATGTATCCCCTGTATGTATGTAGTTCTTCCTAGGATAGTTTGATGTTTTGTTTGTAAATATAAGTATTGTGAATGGTTTTAATGTTTGTGTAGTAAAGGGAGAGGGCATTAGATTTTCGAAGTTTGGTCACAAGGCTGATTGAGTGCTCATGGTTAGGGTTCCGATCGATTTCAATACTAATTTTTATGTAAAAATACCAAACCGAAAATTTCAATACTATACTGATCGATATCAGTATTTACCAAAATTTA